TATTTAGAGAACAAGGCGTGACGATCGTAAGCATTTTATCGTCTTTTGGATTGGCCTTGAGTACCATCGTTAGTAGCATCGTAGCTAGCGTCAGAGCTGCTGGAACGCCTGCACCTGCGCCTGAACCTGCACCGACACCAACGCCGACTCATTTTCAGCTCGGATAAAATAAGTACAAATTCCTCCTGGGATATATCACTGTCTTCAAACGAGTGAGATACGTATTCCTCGATGGTGTTTAATTCAGCGTCTGCCAACATTCGAATTTGGTTGTGTTTTTTTGGTTTTGTGGGTGAGTCTACGGGAGGTGTATTTCAATATCGCATAAGCACCGAACGCACCGATAGCAATGCTTCCCATCACTAGGGCGACGGTAACGACGCCCAAAATGGCGGAAATGCCAACGGCTGCCGAGGTCGCGCCCAGTGCTTCTACGCCGTACTCCACGTATCCGAGTGCGGTTAAAAGTCGTTTGATCTTTTTATAGCCAGCTTCGCGCGCGTCGTGTTCTCTTTGAATTTGGGATTTAATTTCTTCGATCTTTCTGAGTCTGTAAATTTTGGTTTCTGCTCATCTTTTATTATATGCGCGTTTTAAAAAATGTCTAACTCGATTAAAATTTTGCCAATATTATTCAAGAGCTCACCTCGGTCGTTTTTAACGTCTAAAGACTGCCCGTTATAAAAATTTTCAAATGTATTTACTTGTTTGCAATGAATAAACGCGAGTTTCAATGGGTTTAAATGGTACTTGCCTTCACAAATAACGTTGGGCAAAAGTTTTATTTTGCGTAAGTTCAGTAGCTTAGACACTCGTTTATTTAGTCGCAACTTGAGATTGAGGTCCGTAATGGCCAAAGTCACCCTTTTAGATTCTGCTTGAACCTTAAAAGAAACGCCTGGAATCGAGTTTAACAAAAAGTGAAACCAGTCCATGCTATAATAACCGGAAGATACCACGATGCTTCTTCTTTGACCCTCGGGTAATGGTTGAGAGGAGCTTCGCGAATGAAGTCTGTAGTATATAGGTTCAGTTAGTCCCGTCAAAATCAGTCTTTTAGTTAATTCTCTTCTGGGTCTTGTGGGTTGTACGGGGGAGTTTGTGGGGGATTTCCCTTTGTAAATTTCGTTTAAAGCTTGTCTTTGCCCCTCGAGCAGTGAAACTGATTTGACTTTTTATCGTCGATATCATAAGCTAAACGAGTTCGCGTTTCTAATGGTTGTCTTTTGTTTAACTGATCTTCTAAAGTGGCGATTTCTTAGTTTAGCTGCTCAATTTCACAGCGATGATTCTAATTTCTTCCGCTAAGTTGCCTTTTTTATTTGCTTGGATCAATCTGTTTTTAGCTGTTTGTATCCCACTCAATTTCAGTCGCGTTTGTTACGTTAAAATATCCAGCTTCAAACTGAATGTTCTTTACTCGGCGACTTCGTCGCCGTTGGTGTTGTTGATCTCGTCTTTCAATTTAAACGTCTGCTCGCTCTCGGTTAAGTAAAACGTGTGAGTCTCCATTTTATTATATACATTTTGAAAAATCTTGTTTGGCGAGGTTTAATTTGTCGAGGGCGTTTTCCCAGTGCTTATCCGAAACTTGAAATAATCTTTCACTTTAGAGTCGGTTTCCCCAATTACATCTTGATAACATACCGCGATTATAGCCTTTAACGGTTTACCTCTAGAGATCTTGCCGTTTAAAACTCGGTTTAACTTATATTCTATTTTACCCGCTTCGCCGTTTTTAAAGCAAATGTTATATTTTTGTAGGGTTTTTCTCGATTTTGGTGGCGACGGTTTTTCCAAACGTGATGCTTGTAATATCGATCTCCCATGTCTACAGGGGTGTACGAGGAAACCTACCCAAAAATTAGACCGCAATGTTTACACGCGTATCTTTCGTCTATTTCATGTATTTGGTGCTCGCACGTGTTTCGAGTGTACGTTGGTTTCCGCTGTCCGCCATGTGTACTTTCTTTAGATTCAGCAAGTGACAGAGTTCCGCATCAGTCATCTTTATTAATAGTTCATTTATTTAAGGAAAAAAAATAAACCACAGTTAATTGTTAAATTGATTTTTCAAATTTAATCGACTTTAGTTTCACGAGAGATTCAGATCCAGATTCAAATCCATAAAACACTTGCAACGCCGACTTACTTGAAATTACTCGTTTCTAACTTTCAAAATTGCCGCTGTCACTCTATACCGAACGCTTTTTTGCACAAATAAATGATTGCACGTCGCATCTCTTATTGATAAATTTATCGATATTTGACGAGTCGATGGATCTTTTTTGGTGATCAAAGAGAGAGGCATAGGGATCTATTTTAACGTACATTTGGTTAGTAGCCGTATAAGGCGGTTTAACTACGTACTCTATTTTATCAAGGTCATCGATATCGCGACTGGCTTTGTAGGAGTTTACGGTGTTAGACGGAAGATTAGACCCTTGAGACTCGATAAATTTATAAACGGCCAAATTTATGTGATCGAGTACGTTTGTCGTAGGTGATTGTATTTGATAGCAAATTTGACGGCCTTGGATGTTTTGGGGGGTTTTATCTCGAGTGCCGTATTTGTAAAGCGGGTTCTATCGTCATAATCAACAGACGTTTATTTTGGCCGTTGTGATGGTAAAAAATGGGTGAAGTGCATTGGCTAACTTCTTTAACCACGGGTTTTAAAATAATTAATTTGCTTGGGTCAAAGGGACCGTAGGTAACATTGGGGTCGCAGTTGTCGGCATTAAGACATTCGTGGTCATCTGAAACGATATATACTTGGGTTGACATGGTTCTGATTTTCCCGGCTTTGACTAAAATTTTTCTCATTTTTTTTTCAGCCACGTCTATGAATTGGGTGGGATTTCTACTTTAATTAAATGTTTGACGTCAACGTCGTATTCAATAATTAGTCCAATTTTGTATAAATCCGCGTAAAGTTTAGTCGCTAAATCGGGCAGTGGCTCGTTCTCTTGCGCGTGCCTCAGCTTTTTATGCTTTCCGTCTACGAGCACCACGTGATCCATTCCTTCCAACTCGACACAATTTACGCAGCAGGTGCAATACGTACAACCAAAACATTCGATACAATGGGAGCACTCGTAATAGTCCTCGCAACTGTGCAAGGCATTTGAATTTGGGCAGTTGTATGAATTAAAACAAGCCACACAATTTATACATCTACCACAATCGTCGCAATGGTAGCAGTCGTTACATCTGGTGCAGTCGTTACATTGGTGACAATTGTGACATTCTTTACAATCGGTACATTTGCATAAACTTTTGGAATTTAACAACGGAAGCAATCATACGAATCTATCAAGTCGATTGAATTTCTCGTGTCTTTGCACAAATAACAATTTACGTTTGTAGTGTGATCTACAATTTATTTTTGTTTAGTATTTATTTATTTTTTTTCGCTTTTTTATAATGGGCAAGTCTCGACTTGTAGTGACAGGAAGTCCCTTTTTTGTTTGTGATTGATTGTTTGAGAGTGATTGTTTGAGAGTGATTGTTTGTGCGATCGGTGCTGGTCAAAGAAAAAAGTGCGCCGGGTTAAAAGGTAACTGGGAATCCCCGGCGCGGGTGGGTGAAAGGGGAGTTGGCGTCGAGTCACGAGTTGTTGACAAAAAAGTGCGCCGGGGTCAAGAGTTCAAGGTGAGTGAAGTGGGAAACCCGGCGCGGTTGAGTGAAAGGGGGGGAAAGGGTAGGTGGTCCTGAATTGGCTATTTCCTACTACTGCTTGACGTTAGAAATTTTATTTCATATTTTTGTGGGCTGTGGCCGTTATACAGCAGGCGATAAATGACTGTGGAATGCATGACACAAGTCGGGTTTTCGCCTAAGTCAGATAAAACATGTCGGTCCCACTAGTTGAAATTTGATTTCTAGTATACATGTGCAACGGGAACTTCGGCTGTGGGGAATCAATTTCAAACTGCTAGGAGTGGACAAGCAGGTTTAAACTTTGTTAGGAAACAGACTTGTTTGAAATAATGGGGTATATTTCAATCTTACATGAATATACAGAACTGGAATCCTAACAAATTGCAAACCACCTTGGCTTTTTCCAGATTTGTAAATGTACATGTACGGTACCTGTACATGTAACTGACAAACGTCATACATGGGTACATGTATTTTCTTCTACACGTGTACTACATGTACATCTATCATCCATTGGAATAATATTTCATGACATCGATGACTTTTATACTGACTCACCTCTTATCCTCATTGGTGCTGAAGCAGACTGATATCCTTGACCAGCGACATTGGTCCGGCAACTATATACACTTTCATCTTCTAATGTCACTGATGTGATGGTCAGAGGATAATTACTTTGTGTTTTGTCAAAACGGAAACGACTTATATCTATTGACCCACCCCAATTTACATCACTGCCAAGCAATCTCACAACTAGTTCACTCGACGGCCTACTAGCGGTACAAGATTGTTCATGGACGACGCATTTGATCCACTCAACCTCACGAGGTGTCCCTGACGGCAAACAAGTCAGTGTTGTTGGTTGGTTGACATCCACCCAGGGATCTACTCCCACAACAGGTTGCTGCATAGTTAAACCAACTAGAACAAAGAACACAAATACATGGAACGGACGGTTGCCGTATGAATCGACTGTTGAAGTCACTTAACAAATGCCCAACAATGCATACAAAATGCTCATGAAGGTAAATATGATTCACGTAAATGTGACGGTGGTGCGTCAAGACCAATTAAGTTCCAGCTACAGTTTTAGTTCAGTTTTTCCTACGAAATCAGTTGTAGACTGAAAATAACCGGAACTGACAGGAAAGAATATACACAGGCGGACAAGCAGTAAAATCTGGCTAAAGAAATCGTTCAACCCAGCAGTATATTTCCGTCTGCCACTATATCCACCCCACCCTACCACCCTGTACTAAAATTTATGATCACAACAATAGTTAGTTAGCCTCACAACGAAAGCAAAATGCTTCCTTGCGTATTTATTTGCATGTTTTATAACTTTACCGTTTGTTAAACAGAAATACAAAAGGATGTTTAATTGCTACATGATGCAATTGTTTCAGACAAGCCAAGCCGTTAGTTCCTTACCAGCATTTAAATAGTTCCAGCGTTTTCTAGTCTGAAAACCACAACATGTTTAGTTGATCAGGTATGCCAGTAAATAACAACAGCGACAAATTTGCACAGGAACTGCTGATCAACAACTCATGTAAATCAAAAACAAAACAAAAACAAACTGGAAACGTCAGGGCTGAATGTCAGGCTGGGATATTCATTTTTATGAAGCTTCTAAAGTAGATTGATCAGACACAATGCTCTCGAAATTGTTGTCTTACCTGCGTAATAAAAAGACAGCCAAACTTGGAAGAATTTACCGGCTTCAAGCGCCATCGTTGTGCATATAGTGCAGGCAGAACTGAAGTTGCTTCACAGTATACAGTATGTGGAACTTACTGAAAGCACTCCCACACTCTGAACCCGGAAATTTATCACGACAAATATAATATTTGTTGTGCAAAGAAGGGAAAATAATTTTTTCCTCTCAATACAACGAGTACATGCCAATGTATACAAAAGAAATAAAACCTTTGAACTTCCTTGTTACTTCATAGTTGATAAAGTGTTTGGACGTAAAACACCCTGGCACTGATGGAAAGTAGGGTCAACAGCTCGGCACAGAGAATTATGTCATCTCGTTAATACCCATAGCCGTTTTCAAATTCGTATTTGCTTATTTGTCTTGACGGACGAGAAGTACATTGAGGCACAACAATCACTACAGAATTGAAGATATTGAGTTACAGAGAACGAATGATTGACCAATATTACTATAATTATTTCCAAAGTTATCACACAAAGGAATGGGTGTACATTCGAAAATGTACAGACATGGTACAAAAATGCTTTTGCCTGTCATGTTACCTCACGTGAAAAACGTTTATTGACAGTTTACTTTACGACAACCTCTCGCATTTTCGTAATGTTTACCATCAGTTGCCACCTTCGAGTTTTGTTTAACGTTTCCCATTTCAGTCTCCCACCAACTTCGGAGTATGCTACAAGCCGCCTACATAAAAGTGTTTCACTCGTCTTCCAACAAGCTCCAAGCCCTTCTACACTCCTACAAAGACAAGTAGCCCTCCACCAGTTGCCCCGGTGTTTACCGCATTCCATGTGAATGCGGTCAGGTGTACATCGGGGAAACAGGAAGAAGCCTCCCGACCCGCATCAAGGAACACCGAGCACATGGCCGACGAGGGGAATACGACAATGCGGCCATCATCAAGCATGCCCACGACAGAGACCACAACATCAAATGGGACAGCGCAGAACTTATAGCCTCCATCAAAAACTGGATGCCAAGAAGAATCTGTGAAGCCATAGAGATTTTCCTATCACAACACCGTTCCCCAAGACATCGGCTTCAAGCTCAGCGACATCTGGCGTCCCCTACTCTCTCCAGCACACCACCCCCCCCCCGGGAAGTAGGGTCTCCTATACCCAAAACCCTCAGGCACTGGGTCCCCTCTACCCAGCCTAACCCCCCTTTTCCCGCCCTNATTCCACTTCACCGGTCACCACAGGATTCAACACCTTCACACTCCAGTACCCAGCAAGCCACACGCATCACCGCCCCTAAGCTGCTTATTTAAGCCAGCTAATCCGGAGTCTAGCTCATTCTCTCCTTAATAAGGCCAAAGTACACTGGCCGAAACGTCGAGACCTGCTCTCACGGGTACTTTTTAGAACCACAAAAGAGATATTTCCCACATGGTGTACCCGCAAACCTTTTTTGTGTAACACTCCCACCATGCAAAGCCTCAAATCCACCATAACTTATTATCTTTCCTAGACGTTCGTCCAATAATCGGATCCAGTACATGTTCCTGAATTCTGTTCTGAGCCCAGTTAGAAATAAATCCTCTCGAGGGCGGCCTGCAATAAATAGTCAAACTGATTATTTCCTTCTTCTTCTCACTTAGTCACACATGGCGTAATCTGCAGGATCAGAAAATCTGTTCGGGGTTTCCCTCGCGCAGAATCTTCTCGATTAACTATGGCATAATTTTTTGAAGTAGTTTTAAATCACGTCCCTGCCCCCATCCCGATATACAAGGCTACTGGAATCACTGCGTGCTGTCTTCTGCTTCGGAAGTTTTGCATCAATCACGGACGGAGATCAGCCACAAAGATCTTTGTAGAGAATGGACGGCCACTTGTCATCGACTAAGATCTGAGGATTGGACAGCCTGGAGGCCTGCATCCAAGCAAGACGGCAGTACTCTGTAGCTTCATTTATTTATCATTATTTTATAAAGTGGATTAAACATTGTTTTAACCCTCCACTGCAAAGGGAACTGCCTTGTGGACACTGAGTCAATGGTATCAACTGTAACCGAGGATTTTTTTCAGGAGTTTCCTGAATCTGCTGGAGCGAGTCTTGTCAGTGACGGTCTTTGGTTGTCCCTTACATGCGCCACAGGGTTGAGCATCCCATATGTTGGGTAATTCAGTTCGACGTCTAAGTTGAAGGGGTGAATTTGTCTCAAATGGGCGTCATCATTGTCAAAGATTTTTTAAAAAACTAAGGAACATCGTGCGCAGAAACGACTGGTTCCCATGTTTTGGGGTATGAATATTGTGGCGGTCTTGTCGACACAACCCCCAGGTCGTCCTCGGCCGACGTCAGCGAGCGGTCTACTCTGAGGCAGCCAAAAGAGCAGTCCCGTTTTGGGGCAGTCTACCGCCAGGTGCAGCAGGAGAGCAACACATGCGTGCATTGGGGTAGAGGACAGGGTGGGACACAGGGGCACAACATACACAAACGGACACGTCTGCCTAAGTTGACTCTAGTTTAATGATTGCTCACACCTTTCCAGGCGCTACTAATGATGCGATCTCCACTGGCCATCGCAATGTTCTAGACAGGTCTTGGCCCTATATAGATCATGATCCCTATACAGGTGTAATCTACGGGCACAACTTGTTTCACATCCACCGAATTCCCCAGTAAGACTACCGCCCCGGAAATCGAGTTCCCCCGTATACACTCGTCCCCAGATGATGCATATTACGTCTAAAGATCCCCGGTAGGTCGCTTACTTACGGGTAAGTAAGCTATATCTTTGCAATATAACAAAGTGATCCACACAGTATTTTAGCGATAGTCCTTAAACCAAGTTATAATTCTGCGTTAAAAGCCAACACCTGTGGTTAAATTGTCTCCCACTTCAATCTGTTGCTGTGAACAGCAATCGTTCACAGTAACCAACGGGTTAATTAATGCATTCAACTGATACAAGTCCAACCCTACATTGCTCTCCAGTTTTTCTCTGTCTAGATCGCACAGTACACATTTGCATTGGCATAGACCCACAATCTTTTCGAATATGTCTTGTTTTCAACAACGTTGGACGTATAATCACGATCGCTTCAACGACAAATCGGTATTCACATTCCAACAATCCATTTTGTTTAATGGACTTTGTGTGAGCTCAATGTCATGCCTGTAGAAATAGCTTTCATGTACACACATGGACATGTACGTGTATGTTTTCACAGTGCATCTTATGAGTCACTTTATTTGACCTTGTATTAGAAATTTCCTCGTATGGATAGATGATAGATTTTACCTACTGTGGCGAATGCAACTGACACCTC